AAAGAAGATAACGTAGCCCCCCGGGGTCGTGAAGACGCCCGTTATCATCACTATAGAGATAAACTCTTTAGCAATGGCCTGAAAATGTTGGTGATTCTTATGTTGCAACAGCAGGACTTCCTTCCAATTATTGGTCTATATCTGTAATAGATGAGCCCTATGGAAGTTCTCGCGGGTCATGTAGACCTGCAACTGACTCTAAAAGTGCGTCTGTGTCCTAGAAAATTTCAAAACATTTGGGAGTGAGTAACTAGACACGACGTGATCAATGAAAGTTCAGTGGCATGGGGCTGAGGCCACTGTAGTCAGTATTACTTGCCTCGGAAGGAGACAGTAATGAGAGATGTGGTTCCCCGTGAAGTATGATTAAACACCCGTCTGTTGGGAGACAAGTGAGTGGTCTTGGGTAGGGTTCAACGTGCACTGTTGGACAAGATGCAGTGACTTCTACCCGGGATCTGATTAAATCAATCCTGAACCTATTTGGGAATTGTCCAGAGTATTTGAGTGGCTAGGAGTAAAAGTTCAATGGATAATAGGCAGTTGAGGTAGCAGACTCATCATTGATTATTGTTTTTCTTCTCACTTGAGCCTTCTGCTTCCTAACGCTCATAATGTTCACTCACTCACTCGCTCACTCACTCACTTACGCTCGGCTTTGTCCCCTAGGTAGGCTTAGTTGGGTTTACTAAGCCATAGGGACATGTTCTCTCATTACTTTCTTCATTTTCTCTCTGTACTCCCCCTCAACTGGAGCACTCGGTATGCTTTGTCATTGTTAGGCACCGGGAAGGATAACATTGAACACTCCCCCTAAAATGTTGCATCCTTTGAGAGATTTCTTGCTTTGTCGGTGTAAGGCGCCAGGAGGAGAAAACTGAAACCCCCCCTCAGAATGTGCAAGGTTTGATTTTTCACAGCTTGTCATACCCACCATGTGTGTGGAGCAATCTGAACATGTACCACACATGACGGTTTCCCTGAGCTCATCATGTAGAATTTCAGCATATTGATGATCACATATTGTTGACGAGTCAGGGGAGGCTTCAGCAGTTGATTGTTGATTGTTGTAAGATGACCGTTGACGCGAGGTTGATTGAATTATCTACGATTTTCGGACCTTTACAGTGGAGCATAGAAAAGCTTTGACCTCATGGTTGTCATTGAAAGAATTTGAACAGATTTGCCTAAGTTTTGACCTGGACATCGGTGATTTACAATGTTTGTCGCAAAACTAACGTTTTAACCCTCAAGGGCTGCGAGTGAGGGCGCGTGAGAATGGGTTCTGGGGCATATCCCGAGAATTAATGTAGATCTTTTCGTTAGCTTTCCAACAAAAAAAAGTTTGCTCAAATCGGATCACCGAGTCAAAAGTTATGGCCAAAACAGTGCGGTGTCGCAGAAAATCTCTAATTTTGAGTTTTTGAGGAATTTCATCGAAGTTGAGGTTCTCGATGTTGAATATCGAGCGCAGGTGGATTTTAAACAAAATTCTAAGGCAATACCTCAAAATCCTAATCTCGAGTTTTAAATCTCGAGATTACAATCTCGAGTTTTAACCCTCGAGATTACAATCTCGAGTTTTAACCCTCGAGATTACAATCTCGAGTTTTAACCCTCGAGATTACAATCTCGAGTTTTAACCCTCGAGATTACAATCTCGAGTTTTAACCCTCGAGATTACAATCTCGAGTTTTAACCCTCGAGATTACAATCTCGAGTTTTAAATCTCGAGATTACAATCTCGAGTTTTAAATCTCGAGATTACAATCTCGAGTTTTAAATCTCGAGATTACAATCTCGAGTTTTAAATCTCGAGATTACAATCTAGAGGTTGCCTCGAAGAATAATGACGAAATCAACCTGCAAAACAAACCTCAGAATATCGAAATCTGCAGAATTTCAAAATGTTTGGAACATCGAAAACTTTGGAGTTTCGAAAACATTAGAAAATCGAAAACTTGCTGTTTGAAAAACATCAGAACATCGAAAACTTCTAAAAACTTTGAAACGCATAGATTCATTCAGATATCTAAAAATGTAAAGCTTCGAAGTGTTCTGAACAGGAAAGATATCAAGTTTAGAAGAAATCAGTGATTCAAGAAACTCCAAACTTTAAAAAATTCAAAACATCGAGAAATTTTGAAAATCTCGAAATCTTCAGGATGTCGAGATCCAAAACATCGAGATCCCAAATGTCGAAATCCCAAAACTCGAAATTCCAAAACTCGAGATGTCAAACTCGAGATGTCAAAACTCGAGATGTCAAAACTCGAGATGACAAAACTCGAGATGTCAAAACTCGAGATGTCAAAATTCGAGATGACAAAACTCGAGATGACAAATCTCGAGATGACAAAACTCGAGATGACAAAAGTCGAGATGTCAAATCTCGAGATTTCAAAAGTCGAGAAGAGGAAATCACGCCCCTAAATGTCGAGATCCTGCAAAATGAAAACATCGATTTTTGAAAATCTGAAACCTGTTCTGAAAAGCCCTGAAGGTCGAGATTCTCCTGTATCAGATTCAAGTCAAAAACGTTTCTGCAGCAGTGAAAAATAAGGATTTCGAGATCTCAATGTAGAAATCTTCGAAATATAAAAATTGCAGAAAACGAAAAAAGAGGTATGCTGCTGGACCGGTTTTGAAAGGCGAGTCCAACAGTATGATTTTTACAAAATTTCGTTCACAAACAAGATTACAGGAGCAAATCTCTACATATAGAAAAACAGAAGAAAAACAGAGCAGTTCTTCGTTAGATCCAAAAAATCGCAGATAGATCCAACATGTTTCACGCCTTGGCTCAGATACCAATTGATAAACCCATTATACTAATCAATCATACAACCAAAGCAGTTAAGAAGAAGCAGATAGAAAAAATCGACAAGATTAAAACCAAATCTGGTATACCGTATGAACTGCCCGCTGCTCTCCCTGGAGAAGGAGAGCAGCGACAACCCTAATCTTTCTATCTCGCCTCTACGCTCTCTTAGCCTCTTCCGATTGTTAGGGTTCCCGTAAGTTAGCCTCCTTTTATAGGAGAAGTTAGCTAACTTACAGGTTACAAGGAAGCCCCCGGACTGATACACATTTGTGGGCCGTATTACACGTTTAATTAATAACTACACAAATACAAAGATATTTAATTAGATTAGACACCATAAAATATTCCTAACAATGAATAGTTATATTGCTTGTGTAATAATCATTCTAGGAGTTAGAATTGTGTTCTAGGGTTACAAGTCCCCCAATGGGAGTATAAATAGACAAATAATGGGTCGGGCCGCTAATATGGGCCCGATAGACCCAATTACATAAAAAACTAATCTAGTACATACAAATGATATATGAACTCTACAATAATACAAATGATATAAATGACGTCCGATAAGCGTGTGTGGGCCGCTGTCCGGGCCCAATAGTCGTGAGACCCGGGGGTCCGAGTCTATATACTCCATCAGCAGGTATGAATCTTATTACAATATCATTTTATTATACCAGTAACTCTTGTATGTTGCATATGTGTTTGTCTTTTAGGCTAATCGTCTAACACCAAACCATGAATATAATTTAATAGAACATTTGATAACTCCGAATCATAAAGAATGAATATATTTTTCATTCTTGTAATATTCTTATATATATATATATATATATATATATATATATATATATTGAATTTAAGGTTTTAAACAAAGATTTTATGAATTATTGTTCTAGTGTAATATGTGTGTGTACACACACATTTGTGTATCACACACATATTTATATATATATATATACACATTTATATATACATTTATATTATATATTAGACTATACACACACGTGTATATATTCCTCTCTTTTGGATGCTGATGGTAGCATTCGTAGGTTTTCCCATGTTTTATTTAAAAATAGGATACCTGTAAAAAAATAGCCAATCACTAATCACAAAAACTGAACAATTATAAGCATCAAATTAACAAAGATATATTAATAGGCATTAAGGCTCATACATACATATTCAACATTTCTTTACTTATTTGTAGCTTGTCCATCACTGTCATTTTTAATGAATGTTAGCCTCAGCCCTTGGATGAAAACAACAATATAGACATGGAATATCTTCATCTTTTAAAAGACTTGTAACAGGGAAATGACATGCCTCTAATGGATTTTTTAGCTCTTCCCAACTTCAGAATCTGCAGGAACCTCAATGGCCCCTTCAACCCTCTCTCTCAGTGCATATGCCTTGGTGTGTGATTCCATTGAAATTCAGTTGTATTTATACCGCAATCAACAGTGACTCTTATTACATATTTATAGCCCTTTAAAATCTAGTAACCATTGTGTTATAACCAATGGATTTTAGGATGCTATGGTATGCATTAAATGCTATCTTTTGCCGCACAACATTTTTTATGTACTCTCATTGCTAAAGATATTAAAGTACACTCCATTTAATGCTTTTTCAAATGCAATTTGAATTTTAAATGTGAAAGCACACTTCATTTAATGCTGTGTAGGAAGCTCTGAGATTTGCATTTATTGCTTTCATAAGATTAAACTTGCTTCAATATACTCAGCCCACATCCCAGCCTGCCCGCATTTAATGCTCTTATGGAGTAGTGAGCTTAACACTTTATTGAGCCATGAAAATGTCATATCAGCTAACTACGAAGATCCATATTTAATGCATCTTACTTTTTTGCTCAGCCAACTACGAAGATCCATATTTAATGCGACCGACCTGAATTTGGCCCAGTTCTTTGGGTGAGAAAGATGTGTACACACCTCTCTCTCAGTGCAAATAATTCGATCAAAAAAATGGAGAAATTATCCCTTAAACAAACAAGTGTGCTAAACGTGTGAAAAAATAAAATGTCTAAGCCACGTTAATCTCATATTGATTTATGAAAAATGTTTGGAGAAATTTTCATGTACACATGTTTGTCCTCAGTACACCAAACAACTCTAAAGTTGTTGATTTCTTGGCAAGATTCAACGTTTCCCTGGACCGAACATGTGGGGACCTTCCTGGACGGACGAGTTTGGGATCAAACCTTTTTCCTAATTAGGCCGAGGTCGGCAGCTTAGATACACAGTCATCAGCAACAAAATATATGGAGAGAGGGTGATAGACCACGTAAACAAATCAGGTCCATTTGTTAACGAAGGATACACAAGAACACACGATGCTGCACGCTCCCGATCACTGCCGTCTAATCCCCTCTACCTCCGTTTGAAATTGGGTACTCTTCTCTTCTGCTGTGTGTTTCTTTCTGTAGTTGGTATTAGTCTGCGAGAATGGAGGGAGTGACTTCTCCGTCGACCTCGCCCGGCCCGAGTTTGGAAGGGATCGATGATGTCGAGGATTTTCCATGGGTGATTCTTTCGTTTAGTTCGATTAATTTCTTCTTTTCAAGTAAGTTTGGGATTTTCGAATGTTTTAAGAAAAAAGAAGGTGCGGGTTTTGTTTGAATGCAGGCGAATGAAGGAGAGCCGTCCATATCTCGGGACCGATTCAATCATCTCTATGGTCTTATGCAATTGGGGAACATCGCCTTCCGGGAGAACAGACTGGAGGAGGTGGATTTCTCGATCTATATAACTTGATTTTGAATCATATCATGATTCTGAATAGCTATTTAAGGTTTACATGGAATCAAAACCATCTTTGTAGTTAGAGACTAGAGTTTTATTTGCAGTTCACAAACCCTGAACTTATCTCACTTTTGATGATAGAGAGAGAGACTGTTCAGTGTAGCACCCTAGTTACAATGAACACATAGCTAAGAATTAAGCAGAGGTTGTTTTATTTATCTATAATCTGCTTTTCAAGTTGGTTTATCCAATGGTGTTTATGAGGCAATAGTTTTGAATTTAAACATTACTTATAAATTGCCATTCACTTTTGTTCTTTCCAAGATGAGCTTGAAGCAATTAAACCAAATGCCAAATTTAAACTTGAAGTATCTGAATCACGTTTGTAGATTAAACCTATACTGTTCCAGTATGTTTTAGTTTTATTTATTTAGTTCATTCTTTACCATGAATCCAGTATCTTTAGACTTTAGTACAATATACATATGTTATGTGAATTACTTTGATCGTATGTATTGGTTATATAAAACATTTCCCTGGGGAAAAGACCATGCCTTTACTCCTGCTCAGTTTTCATGGATATATTAATTTTTTGGTCAAACTTATTGATATTCTGAGCGCAGAGGCAGAGTATGTTTTTGTGGGCGTGTACGTTCTGCAATGGATAAATCCACATTGAATTCTCTAGTTGCTTGAGTTCTACTTTCCTGATTCCTTTCCTCTTTTCCAGGCAATCAATTGTTACTCCAAAGCTAATAATATTAAACCAAATGATTCCATCATTCTCAGCAACCGATGTGCTTCATACCTTAGGTATATATGGTTTTCAGTCTCTTTGATGCCAATAGCCTAAATACTCAAACTAATGTCATTTATGCACTCAAGCCTCTGTTCTGAAGTTGCATTTCTTTTATACTCCGGTGATATCTGATGAATGGACTTACTTGTTGAACCAAAGATGGATTTTACTATTCTCACAACTAGCAACTGCAAATCTGTTGATAGGTTTAGCCAGTTTCTGAAGAATAGATCTTCATCAGATTCAGAATATATGCCATTGAGGGGGCTGGATCCTACAACATATTCTGCGGTCTGTTATGTTGTTTTTTTGTTATAAATAATTATTAATCTCTGATAGTGTGTTTGTAACTTTTTTATGCATTAATTTTCAGCTTGCGCTGAAGGATGCTGAGAAAGTGATGACTTTTAGGAAAGACTCCCTAGCATCATACATATTGAAGGCAAACGCACTCATTCTGGTGGGAATATGATTAATTGATTATGATATGAAAAGAAAAATTCAATTAAGACAAAAATATGTCGAAAATAAAAGGGTGAAACACACAAAAATGCAATTAATGAATGCATGACTTAGCATGGTGTAGAAGGAACTGTTGTCACTAGTTAACTTATGCCATATTGCCATGAGGGGAGAATCACGTCTGGAAAATATTTCTCAGTTACCCCAGTATGTATTGTCCCTTGTTTGATCCCGACATGATGATCATAACTTAGGGGCTTAGATTTTGAGTAGGCATCACTGTCATTGCTTTCATTTCTTCTGTAGCGTAGTACATTTATGAGTAATTGGGTATGTGATAGAAACAGAAAACCCTAGCAGACCATATTAACGTCTGCCCCAACCTTAGGCTCAAACCAAATCTTTATTCTCAATAATCAATAATAGTTCACAAGATCAGACCTCCTTAAATACTCCTTAACCTAATAATAATAAAGTATGGCCATCTAGGCCCAGTAACCTAATAATAAAATATGGCCATCTAGGCCCAGCAGTTTATTAGAAATAACAATTGAATGAAAGTAATACAACCCAACAGTTAACCCACCCCAATTAGGTCCACTGACAGCGACAGTAAACTAATAACGGGTGAGGCCTGTCCTCCCGAAGCATCGGCCCAGTTGCCTCCTCCTAGAGCCTCGGCCCATCTGCCTCCCACTCCCTAACAATTCCCCCCCCCCCCCCCCCCCCCCCCTCTAAAACAACTTTGTCCCCAAGGTTGGAGTGAGGAAGCTGCTGCTGGCACTGCTGCACCCCCAGTCCATGTCGCATCATCTTCTGACTGACCAACCTGCTACACCACACCTGCTCCACATTTGGCCACAATAAAGTGGCGGGTTCTTTTTCTATCACAACTGCCCAAAATTCCACTTCCCTGGTCCGAAGCAGGACCTGTAGGTCCACCTGTTTCCAGCAGAGTGCCGGGTCTCCTCGTAATACTACCAACCTGCCCTGACAGTCAAATGACATAGTCATCATATCCCAGTTGGTCCGGACCATAGTCACATGGATCGCTGTACGCTTCAGTACGCAGTACGAAAACGGGAACGCAGATCGCGAATATTAGAAATCCGATACGTAGGGGGTAGGCTTCTTCGGTACGTGATTTCGGTACGCGGTACGATGTACCCTTTGTTTATGGTACAGTGAACCATAAACATAATGATTTTAAAAAGTATTTAATATAATCAATATAATACTTGTATTAAACAGTTAACTTCAATAACATTAAACAAACTTAGCAAATGCAACAACAATAGAAGCCTTAAAACATTAAACAAAGTTTCAGGATTCTGATAATTTTATATAATAAAAATATATTAAAATTTGTTATAAATATATTATTTAGACAATTAAATATACTTAATAGATTAAATTATACTTATTAGATTTTAATAAGTTAAACAAAGCTTCTATTTAAGTATACTTATTATACTTAATATACCTGTTTGTTATAAATTAAAATTGTAAACAAAGCTTCTATTCAATACTCAGTATTAATATACTCATTAGATTTTAACAAGTATAAATATGATTCTCAAAAAAATTAAGTATAAATATAATTAATATAATACGTAGTACGAGTATTAAACAACTAAGGCACCAACAATTAACTTCAATAACTCCAATAACATTAATAGAAGCTATTAACCAGTGCGTCGTTTCATCCTCCAAGGTAGGCTTCTTCGGTACGTGATTTCGGTACGCGGTACGATGTACCCTTTGTTTATGGTACAGTGAACCATAAACATAATGATTTTAAAAAGTATTTAATATAATCAATATAATACTTGTATTAAACAGTTAACTTCAATAACATTAAACAAACTTAGCAAATGCAACAACAATAGAAGCCTTAAAACATTAAACAAAGTTTCAGGATTCTGATAATTTTATATAATAAAAATATATTAAAATTTGTTATAAATATACTATTTAGACAATTAAATATACTTAATAGATTAAATTATACTTATTAGATTTTAATAAGTTAAACAAAGCTTCTATTTAAGTATACTTATTATACTTAATATACCTGTTTGTTATAAATTAAAATTGTAAACAAAGCTTCTATTCAATACTCAGTATAAATATACTCATTAGATTTTAACAAGTATAAATATGATTCTCAAAAAAATTAAGTATACATATAATTAATATAATACGTAGTACGAGTATTAAACAACTAAGGCACCAACAATTAACTTCAATAACTCCAATAACATTAATAGAAGCTATTAACCAGTGCGTCGTTTCATCCTCCAAGGTCGCTGACCTTCGTTATTAAGAAATCGCTGGAAACTTCGAGTGGCTTGCGTCCTTTAGAACTTCAACTTTCCTGCGTCGTTTGGCATGCCAGAACGAGTAGCGGAAGGTGAAGTCTGCGAACCAACATCGTGCAATACGCGACTTACCTATTCACAGCCGCGTTCCGCAGTCGCGAACCAGACGCGTACTGTACGCAATCGTACCGCGATCTGGTACGGACGATCCGGAATGGGAATCGTGGCATGTCCAGCGATTTCTGTAACTATGGTCCGGACCTCTCCCAAGGATGCTAGCCATGCTACTCCCAGTATAACATCCACTCCTCCCAAAGGAAACACATAACAATCTGTTCGTACTTCGCACCCCGGTATCGAGATCAACACCCCCTTGCAAACCCCTTCTGATTCTTGGCGACGACCGTCCCCTAGCTGTACACCAAACTTCCTTGTCTTTTCTGCCTTTAATTTGAGTCGTGGTATATGGGCGGCTGAAATAAAGTTGTGACTTGCGCCACTATCCACCAAGATGGTCATTGTGAACCCCTCAATCACGCCTTTGAGTCGCATAGTACGGGAACTACAAATTCCCGCCATCGAATATACGGGCAAGTCCAGAGCTGCTGCTTGTTGCTCCTCCTGTTCCCCTAGCTGCTCGACCTCTTCAGGTGGGATAAAAGATTCAGTTTGGTTGAGGTCGAGTTCCTCATCTTCCTCGACAACCATTACTCTTAAGTGTTTTAGGGGACATTCATGCCCGGGGGTATAGGGCTTCTTGCAACGGAAACAAAGCCCTTTTGCACGTAGGTCTGCAAATTCCTGCGGTGAGAGGCGTGTGAACCGAGAGCGATTCACCGACTGGCCAGTCATGGCTGATCCGGACCCCAAGGTACTACCTGAAGATGGCTAGGAAGTTGTGCTTCCCGCTGCCCCTTGGTTTCCAGCAACTGGAGTGGAAGAGAACCCCGAAAACCCGTCAACTTTGGTGTAATTACTGGAACGACACTGCTGATTGTTGTAACCCCGTTCCGATCTCCCTCCGGACTGTACGGCCAAGTCGTCTTCGATATCTCTAGACAACTCCATAGCAGCTTCCAAATCAGCCGGCCGTAGGATCCTTAAGGAACTGCGAATGGTGTCCCGTAGCCCTTTCATAAAGTACCCCAAGTAGTGGGCATCACTCAAACCTGGGACTTGACGGGCTAATTGCACGAACATATTCACATAGTCATCCACGGATCCTGTCCGCTTAACGTCGGCCAACCGTTCGAACGTGCTTCCTTTGAACCGAGTTTCAAAACGGGCTACAAGGGCTTGTGAAAACTCCTCCCAGGCTATGTCTGGTTTCTGCGACCGTGTCCAAGAAAACCAGTACAGAGCAGGACCCTCCATTGCTACCATGGCCGATGCCACCTTCAACTCAGGTCGGGTCTGATGGATTTCAAACTGCTGATTGGCCCATGGCAAGCCATCCAATCGGGTCTGCCCCCCTCAAACGCTGGTAGCGTCAGAGGTGCGGTCGCAGACCTAGGGTTGTGGGAGTTCTGTGAATCAGCCGTGCCTCCTCCTCCCGACTCAGAATTAGCCAGCGGTTCCCCCGATGCCATAACCTTCTGCACCAGTTTGTCTAGGGTTTGCGTGATAGCATCCAACTTGGCGTTGGTGAATTGCACTTCTGCCCTGATGTCCTTCTGCTCCACTTCTATTGCATCCATGTGTTGATCAATGTTGGAACGAGTCATGATGAACGTAGGGTGGTGGATCCGGTAGGTCGGACCAAATTGATAGAAGCAGAAAACCCTAGCACCCCAGCCTTAGGCTCAAACCAAATCTTTATTCTCAATAATCAATAATAGTTCATGTTAGAATATACATATTTAATAGTCAATATATTCTATGTATATATATGGTAGCTAATATATTCTCTGCGATAGACTAAATATTCTAGGTAAATCTGACATATTTAGTTTCCTTTTTGTTTTCCCTAGCTTGTATGTATTTATACTGGCCATACCTAATGATAATGAAGTGTGATTTCATTGCATCTTTAATTCTTATTACTCAGTTTACATGGTATCAGAGCCACACAGGTTCTTCGGGTAGTACTTCCCGAAGTTCAACTCTGCTCCCTCCCTCTGGTTCGATTCAGCTCTCTTTTGTGCGGCACATGACGTTGTTCGCAGGTGCAGGCGTGGTAATCCGGATAGTGCAGAACAATTGTCGCAGGTCTGATTTTCTGGACACTATCTTTACTATTTGCACCAGTTCTCTTACCCTGTTCTTGTTATCACTCTTGCCCTAGTTGTTTGCAAGCATGGGTGATGATAAGAAGAGTGTGACTGAGATTACTGTCGGTAATGCTAGAATTACCGAGAGAAAACTGACTGGTAGTAAAGATTACGGGCAGTGGACACAGACTATTACTAGATACGTTAATAGTCTTGATCTGGGAGATCATCTAACTGAAATGGCTCCTCCAAGAAGTAATCCTGATGAAAGAAAAAAATGGATGATGGCGGATGATAGGTTGTTCAATCAAATTCAGAATACCCTGGATCCTTCTATTGATAGTATCATTACTCATTGTGATACTGTCAAAGAAATGTGGGAATACTTGGAGTCTATGTATGCCAGTAAACAAGATCTCTCTTATGTTCATCAATTACTGGTGCACTACTATTGACCGGAGATGAGGGATCAGACGCTGTTTCAATACTATAATGAATGTAAACAGATTTTTGAGGAAAAGCGGTCCCGATTCCCTATTACTGCTGATGTTAAGAGTATGCAAGAACAAGAGGAGCGAACATTTGTTCATGGTGTTTTGGCTGGCCTTGGTCCACAATATGAGGTATCAAGGAGTCAAATACTGTCTGGTGGGACCCTTCCTAGTTTTTCTGACCTCTATGGACGTCTCCTTCCAGTGTGCAAAGATGGAGAATCCAGAATGATGAACTCAATTGATACTGCTGCCTTAGTCAGTGATGTGAGCCATGGTAAAAGGACCAATTCAGTCACTACTGAAGGGACTCGTAATTCTTCTCGCACATGTTATCACTGTGGAGCTGAGGGTCATGTGAAGAAGAATTGCTGAAAATTACATGGTCGTCCACCACAGACTTTTGGACAGTTTCCTCCCAGGCGTGTTGCTAATACGGTTATCCAGGATGGTATCCTACCAACTCCTTCCACTGTTACTATCTCAGTCGATGAATATGCTCGGCTACAACAACTTTCTCTCACAGCCTCATCTGCCACCACACAAGTTGATACAGGTAATCCAGCTGCATGCCTCTCTACATCATCACGCAATTGGGTGATCGATTCTGGCGCAACGGACCATATGACTGGTAATGAAAGTATTTTGGATTCATTTACCTCTTCTGCTAACCAGTCTCATGTTACTTTAGCAAATGGATCAACCGCATCTGTCAATGGCCTTGGAACAACAACTCTTTCTCCAAACCTTTCTCTATCTTCTGTTCTATATTTATCTCAATTTCCGTTTAATTTAATCTCAGTCAGTCAGATTACTAAAGCCCTAAACTGCTGTGTTATTTTCTTTCCCACTCATTGTCTTTTTCAGGATCTTGGGACGAAGCAGATTATTGGTAAAGGTAGACTGGTTAATGGCTTATATGTTTTTGAATCCTTGGTGCCGAGATCAGTTGCATGCACAAGTTCGTCTCTGTTGAAAGTTCACTGTCAATTTGGTCATCCGTCTCTTTCTGTACTACAAAAAATGTGTCCTAGTCTATCACGGGAGTCTGTTTTGGAGTGTGAAGCATGTCAGTTTGCTAAGCACCATAGAACAAATTTCCCTCCTCGAATAAATAAAAGTGTTGAGTCTAGTTTTGATTTAGTTCACACTGATGTGTGGGGTCCTTGTCCTGTCGTTTCCAAACTTGGTCATCGTTATTTTGTTACATTTGTGGATGATTTTTCACGGGTTACTTGGCTTTATCCTTTGAAATCCCGATCAGATGTGTTTACTGCATTTTGTACCTTTCATGCTGAAATTCAAACTCAATTTAATAAGAATATACGCATTCTGAGAAGTGATAATGCTAAAGACTATCTATCTAGCACTTTTCAGACTTACTTATCTCGCCATGGGATTTTACACCACACTTCTTGTCCCTATACACCTCAACAAAATGGTGTAGCTGAACGAAAGAATCGTCACCTACTAGAAGTAGCTCGAGCCTTAATATTTCACATGGGGGTTCCTAAACCATTTTGGGTAGACGCTGTTTCCACTGCGTGTTACCTTATAAATCGTATGCCTTCCTCTGTTCTTAATGGTCAGATTCCGTACTCCGTTTTATTCCCCTCTCAGTCCTTGTTCTCTCTTGTGCCTCGTGTGTTTGGTTGCACATGCTTTGTCCAGGATATGCGTTCCCAGGTCTCAAAACTTGATCCTAAATCAATCAAGTGTGTTTTTCTGGGTTATTCCCGGTTACAAAAAGGATATCGATGTTATTCTCCTTCATTGGGACGGTATATTATCTCTCCAGATGTCACATTTTTTGAAGAAACACCCTTCTTTCAGCATAGTTCATCTTCATCATCTTCTTTGGAACTCTCTAATGATGAGTTTCTAGTCTATACCACCAGCCAGCTAGAATCTGTCCCCCCCAATCAGACTTCTCCATCAACTTTCCTTCCTCCTCCACCTCCTCCACCTCCTCCCCTTAAAGTTTACTCTCGTCGTGTGCGCCATGTGACTACGGCACCTACTATGGCTACCAGTGTACCGCTGCCATCTTCTGCTTCGCCTCCAGATTCTGCTCCCTCCGACCTTGATCTCCCAATCGCCCTCCGAAAAGGTACTCGTACTTGTACTTATCCTGTTTCTTCCTTTGTTACTTATAATACATTGTCATCTTCTTCCAAGAGCTTTATTGCTTCTTTAGATTCTATTGTTGTTCCTTCAACTGTTTCTGAGGCCTTGACTCATCCTGGTTGGCAAGAGGCAATGCGAGAGGAGATAATGGCTCTCGACCAGAACCACACATGGGACCTTGTATATCTTCCACCCGATAAGAAAGCTATTGGGTGTAAATGGGTGTTCACTGTCAAAATGAATCCTGATGGTTCGGTTGCTCGTTTAAAGGCACGGTTAGTAGCTAAGGGTTATGCTCAAGCAGATGGTATAGATTACTTTGACACCTTCTCTCCTGTTGCCAAACTTACATCCATTCGATTGTTTCTCTTTGGCTGCTACTTACAATTGGACACTCCATCAACTTGATATTAAAAATGCCTTTTTGAATGGTGACCTTAGCGAGGAAGTGTACATGGAGCAACCACCAGGGTTTCTTGCTCAGGGGGAGTCTGGAAAGGTATGTAAATTAAGGAAATCGTTGTATGGTCTGAAACAATCCCCACGAGCTTGGTTTGGCCGTTTCAGTGCTGCAATATTTAAATTTGGCCTACGCAGGAGTGCCTATGATCACTCAGTTTTCTTCTCTACCTCAAATTCTGGATGCATTCTATTAGTTGTGTATGTTGATGACATCGTGATCACTGGCAGTGATGCGAGTCGTATTTTGAAACTGAAAGCTTTCCTTTCTACTTGCTTTCAGACCAAAGATCTTGGGCCCTTGAAGTACTTCTTAGGGATAGAAGTCTCACGTAGTAACAAGGGAATTTACTTGTCTCAAAGAAAATACTGCCTAGATGTGCTAAATGATGCAGGTTTGGTTGAGGCAAAACCGTGTGATGCTCCGATGATCCCAAATGTAAAGTTAACAGCTGATGAAGGCGACTTGCTGGAAAATCCTGAGGTATACCGAAGGATTGTTGGGAAACTGAATTATTTGACTATCACCCGGCCTGATATTGCTTTCCCGGTTAGTGTGGTCAGTCAGTTTCTATCCACTCCACGAACATCACACTGGGATCCAGTTACTCATATCCTAAGATACTTGAAGGGGGCTCCAGGGCGTGGGATACTATATCAAAACCACGGACATCATGTTATTGAAGGGTTTACTGATGCGGATTATGCTGGAAACCCTAATGACCGACATTCCACCACTGGTTACTGTGTCTTTGTTGGAGGAAACCTTGTATCTTGGAAAAGTAAGAAGCAAAATGTTGTTTCTAGATCAAGTGCAGAATCTGAATATCGAGCTATGACACAGACTACATGTGAGCTGGTTTGGCTTCAGCATTTGCTTGGTGAACTTGGATTTACTCAAACATAACCCATGAGATTATGGTGTGATAATCAAGCGGCTATCCATATAGCAAATAATCCTGTTTTTCATGAAAGAACAAAACACATCGAAGTTGATCGTCACTTTACTCGAGAAAAGGTAGAAGATGGTACAATTTGCACTTCACACATCAAAACAGGAAACCAACTGGCAGATGTGTTCACCAAGGCTCTACCGGGGACACGTATCAATTTCATCTGTACCAAGCTGGGCATGATTAATATCTATGCTCCAGCATGAGGGGGAGTGTTAGAATATACATATTTAATAGTCAATATATTCTATGTATATATATGGTAGCTAATATATTCTCTGCGATAGACTAAATATTCTAGGTAAATCTGACAGATTTAGTTTCCTTTTTGTATTCCCTAGCTTGTATGTATTTATACTGGCCATACCTAATGATAATGAAGTGTGATTTCATTGCATCTTTAATTCTTATTACTCAGTTTACAGTTCACAAGATCAGACCTCCTTAACTACTCCTTAACCTAATAATAAAATATGGCCATCTAGGCCCAGTAACCTAATAATAAAATATGGCCATCTAGGCCCAGCAGTTTATTAGAAATAACAATTGAATGAAAGTAATAAAACCCAGCAGTCAACCCAGCCCAATTAGGTCCACTGACAGCGACAGTAAACTAATAACGGGCGAGGCCCGTCCTCCTGAAGCATCGGCCCAGTTGCCTCCTAGAGCCTCGGCCCATCTGCCTCCCACTCCCTAACAGTATGTGTGACATGTATTTTGCTGCATTTATTACTTTTGCTATTTTTTTTCTGTTACTTACTTTCACTGCTTGCACTTGCAACTTGCAAGACTAATAATTTTATTGCCTGATGATGTCCTTTTTTTTAATTGATTGGCAGTTAGAAAAATATGAGCTTGCTCAAGATGTAATTTATTCAGGCCTTCATATAAATCCTTCAAGGTAATGTGACACTGTAAAACATTTTGGAAGCATGCGATTAATTTCATTATATTTTTAGAAGCATCCTAATGAAATACAAAATTTTCTATTTCTTGTAACTAGCAAACCTCTTCAAGAGTTGGAGAAATATGTCAATTTAACAGTTGGAAGGAAAAGCCATGAAAGGCCACAACGAAGTGATGATTTTGATTGCACCCTTTGTTTAAAGTTATTGTACGAACCAGTTACAACTCCCTGTGGGCATTCATTTTGCCGCTCATGCCTTTTTCAATCAATGGATCGATGTAACTACAAACCTATTAGTCCTTATTTCTTTCCCATTTGGTCATGCCAATTTTTCCTCTTCCCCCCCTCCCCTCTGTCCCTCCATTTTCTCCTATATGTTACTTAATGTATATATATAGATCCCCTTTTCTTTAATGGTGGCTGATCTATTTTAGGTAACAGATGTCCATTATGCCGCACTGTGCTCTTTATTAGTCCTAGAACATGTGCAATCAGGTGAGCAGCTAATCGGATTCCAACTTGTTCAAGCGGTCTCTTCATGAACCTGCATGAGTTGATGAAGCTGCTTTTCTATTGCTGAGACTGTTCAATCTTCTTTTTCTATCCTTTAGTGTGACACTTAACAACATCATCCAGAAGAATTTTGCTGAAGAATATGCCGAAAGAAAAGCAGAAAATGATACCTTGATAAATCCTGGTGTTGATTTGCTGCCACTTTTTGTGATGGATGTTGTTCTACCTTGCCAGAAGTTTCACCTCAACATTTTTGAGCCACGTTATAGACTTATGGTGAGTTCAATATTTGAAGACCTTTTCATTTTTATCAATTTATAGTTACCAGTTACCACTTGATAAATATGGAGTAACATTTATGAAGTGTTTCAAAAACAATATTCATTTTTGGTCCTTGAGTTTAATTATGGTTGTCAAGTATTATATTAAAAACTTCTGGAAAATAGAAGTTTTTATGAGCCACGTTTCTGTCGAATAACAGTGGTTGATTGCCTGCTAAATTTTTCTAACTAGGTAGTGTTAAAGAGTTTTGCTATTAATGAAACATGGCTCTTTTCCTTCTGCTTTTCCACTTGTTTTAAGAGTGATTTGAATCTATGCATCTTTTCTTATTGTGTTGGGCTTGGGTGTAATCATCATGGCACTTTCATATAGATCTCTTAGTAAACTTCATTTATATATATTCAAACAGGTGAGAAGGATAATGGAAGGAAACCATCGAATGGGAATGGTATAATATCTGTCCCACATAATCTTGTATAGGTATTGATGATGTTGCTTCAGTTACTCATTAGTTTATGCTGAGTCCTTCCGTTAACGATGTAGGTTATCGTTGATTCTACGACAGGTTCTATAGCTGAGTATGGTTGTGAAGTAGAGATCACAGAGTATGTAATTACTATGATAGTGTTTTTTTTGCTAAAATGTTTATGTTTTATCATTCTTATTTATGGAAGCTGTTAACTGTCATAACTGTGTGCAGTTGTGAGCCACTTTCAGATGGGCGCTTTTTCCTAGAGGTGGATTCTCACACAGCTCTCAGTTTCTTACTATATTACTTTCTTTTTGTTTTGCATTGACTGGACAATATCTTATAGTTCAAGAATGATGCTAGTGTTTTATGGCGTCATTTGGCTGTCTGGGTTTATTCCAACATATATGTGGGAGACTGGTGAATGCTCTAGGATTATGTAAACTTGATGAATCTCCCTATCTAATGACATTGGAAACATGATGACAGCAAGTCATATTTGGGTCAACTGGTCAATTGGGACGGGTATCATATGATTACATCAGTTGCATTACCCTCTCCCCCCCCCAAAAGAAAACAAAATTGTTTATTGGTGTTCAATTATGATACCTGGAAGCATATCCCATATTTATTGCTGGTATGATGGTGCAAAATATTAGCAGTAAGGGAAGTCTGAATGCTGTTATGCTTTTTTACGTTTCTGAAAAAGCATGTCCACATCCAGATATGTAGTCTGTTAGATGGCTCAAATTGACTAATAAACAAGGGACAGAGCTAAAATATGACACAGATTTTATAATTTTTTGATTGGTAAATAAGCACAACACAAGTTGTTTGTACTAAGGTTTTATTCCTTACTCTTTCTCATGTTCACTGCTAATGAGACGCAACTTCACGCAGATTGAAAGTCGTCGAAGATGCCGTTTTGTTCGTAACTGGGATCAAGATGGGTTAGTTTTTTTTAACTTAACTACTGTCAGCCTGTAAAATGCTATGTCTATTTATCATCTTCTTTCATGCTTGTGGGGTTATGCCTTCTCACTGTATTTTTGAGTTCATGCAGGTATCGAGTAGCTGAAGTGGAATGGGTACATGACCTTTGTCCACTGGAGGGGACGATAGAGAGACATGAAGTAAGTTTCTTTTTTTTGTAAATCGTGTTTGCATCTTTGTGAGTCATCTAGTGCAATATGTGTATGTGTGCGAGTGTATATATACAGGGTGTGGTTTCAATAAGAACAACGTTTATAGTGTGAATATGCACTTTTAAATTTTTAACCCAATGTGATATAATACAGCTCGTTTATTTCACTTTTTAACTTTTAACTTAGTCAAACCATGCTAACATCAAATAAACGAGGTGACAATATGATAAATGTTTTGCATCACATTGGGTTAGAGCTTAGAAGTGTTTGTTCGCACGATCTCATGATAAGCATTGTTATTATTTAATATCTAAATATATATACACAAACATAAAAATGAAGAGTTTGGTTCAAATAATAAGGCATTTAGGTGAAGAGTAAGAACTAATCATGGTCATTGATCTTATTAAATCGATGAATGAGATGAAATTTAAAGCAGAAGTGCAGTGGCATTTTCGTAAATATCTTACAGTTGAGTGTCTAGATAGTGGAGAGAATGATGGATAAGCGGGACTTTTGTGTTCATGTTCCCAAAATACGAAGATGCTATTTAGTGGATGAAAATACGGGAATGCTGATATAGATGAAAATATCAGGCTGTTTGGTACTGTGGTAGAATAGTACTTGATGCCACGTGTTTAATCATGGTGGCATAATTTCACTTTTTTGTAGTAATACTCTATTGTATAATACTTCGTAGTTTCATACTAATAGTATAATACTTAGTAGCAGTAGTTGATTCATGCAGTATCATTAGGTTGTTAGTTACTATTGCTACTTAATTAGTTTATTGTACTAACAGTACAATAAAATAATACTCCCTCCGTCCCGTTAAGATTGTTTCATCTTTTCTTTTCGGTTCGTTCTACTAAAATTGTCTCATATCAAATTTGATAAAATTTGTATGGTTCTAAATCATTCTTACTTTATTCTTACTTTATCAATTCATTATCAACCACATAAAACTACTTTTCTTAAGAACCGTACCACATCCAATGTTAGTGAGACGGAGTTAGTATTATTCACTACGGTATCAATATGACATGTATTAGTAATTACCCTAAATAGGACTAAATGAAAACATTATTTGCACAAATAGGACTAAAATCTAAATCTTTCACAAATAGGACTAAATTAAACATTAATTTTCTATCCTTAATACCTCTGATCTAATTAATTAATTTCCCCCCTAGTTCCCTTGGGTAATCAGGGGAGTCCGACAGCGACCAGTGGCCGGCAGCGGTAGACGGAGTGGGGCGAAAAAAATCTGGATTTTGGCATGTTTTGGCAGGGGCATTTTTGTCCAATCACAAAAACTCCTATTTTGACCATTTTAAAACCACTATTCCTATTTTGTGATTTTTAGCCCTCTTTTAATCCTCTTTAGATAATTCAATCTAGAATTATTGTATTGTGAGTTTAATAGCACATCAATTTATATTTTTCTGAAAATCAAATAACTAATTTATTCATTAAATGATAACAAAAATACAAGAGAATGAATAGTCTAAGGCTACCTGAGATGAGACATAAAACGGAAAAGATCCAATATAATGTATCCTTTCAGACCACTAACCCCGTAATAATGTAGTCTAGTCTAACAACTTTAGTTGCTTTGGTTACTACTCCAAAGAGAAAAAGTCAATATGACGATTTTTTCCCCGAAACGGATATAGTAAATAATAACATTAAATAAGTTGAGTTTATTAAAATTTATTTTAACATCAAACTATATTCTTCAAATAAAAGCATCAAACTATAAAAAACAAATAATGCCAAATACTCTGTATTACCCAAAGGCTAAATGTACACCTGGATTTCAAAATGCCTAGAGAGGATTGTCCATGATTAGATAATTAAAACCAACGCCGGATTAATAAACATTTCGGATTTGACAGGCCAGCTCCCGCTGTTTCAGAAACCCACAAAAATATCCCGTATTTTTGCCATGTCTCCACCTAGTTCCCGTAGTTTTAGAAATCACCCTAGATAGTGCACCCTGTTATACATTTAGTGCATTAGTATACGCAAAAGGTGCATTATATGTCAAACAAATTATGCTAGAATCAAACTATTGCAATAGTTTCTAGTATATGATTGTAATGCACTTTTATGTTACAATGAGTCAATGATACATTTTTTCATTTTTTGTTGAACATTTAGAATTATCAAAATTACGTTAAGTCGTTAGTGCCACTGATTTTTTAATGAAAAATTGATCTAATCCGCTCATTTTGAAGCAATGAATGCTCTAGATTCATTCTCAATTTTCATTAGGGTATAGACACACAAATATAAGGCTACTCCTATCCTGAAATGGATGTGACATGCTATTATATTGTTATTATTTGGTCAAACTTCCCTTCCTTTATTTTTTCTTGTTTTTATGCATCATTGAATAGTCAACTCACCTCTTGCTATATAGAACTTTTAGTTTTTATTTAAAGATATGAATTATATTTACTAAGTTAAATATTACAAAATTTAAGTTGAAAATAACTTCAATCAATCTTTGCCTACCATTGGGCGATAACCTTCATTTGAGGGGAAATTATTCTTTTTCTTGTTTAGATGCTAATGCTTTTCTTGGTTATGGTCTTTATGGAGTTCCTTTATATTATGTATCCCATTATTGTTTCAACCCATATAGAGAGGCAAATAGAAAACCTGGCACTTCCATCATGCAAGGTGTATTCAGCTTTAGTATGATATAGGTTTTTTCTAGGGTTTAGACCCATTACTAAAATGTCAATGCATCAACACTTAATTCTACCTAATTGCAAATTTCGTACACAGGAATATTTCTTCCCTCCCATTGTCAATTCCTTGTCTTGCCTAATTCTGATATTTGGTGCATTGGAAGACTTATTCCGCATGAGTTATAATTACTAATTTGTCCCCCATCCGGACTTCTAATTTTGGCCTTTAGTTCCAGTCGTTCCACCTTTTTTTGCTCATGGGACAAGCGGCCAAAATAGCCATTAACTTTACAAGGGGCTCAACTTCCAATGGTCATATACAAAGGGCATTTTTGGCGGTTTCATCTTTGTTACTTTCTTCTTTGATTGTTCCATTTAAATTTTTTCTAATGAATTGAATTACGGAATTGAAAATTCTTCTTCATTCCCTACATATTCTCTTCTCGCTTTGTTCCTCGTTTATTCTTCTGTGACTCTCTGTGTACCAAATGAACTCTCTGTGTACCAAATGAGCCATGGTACCCAACTACCCATCTAATGAATAGATGTGTGAACGCATGGCCGTTATGTATCGCTACATTATCACGACTTTGATCCCAATTCTGTTGAGATCACTGACCGTTTAATTTATATTGTTAGTTTTTGTGTAAAATTAGTGAATGCTAATACGCTATAGATTAAAGCTGCGAGGTAGTATATTATGATCACTTTGATCCCAATTTCTCGTTTGGTACACAGAGAGTCACAAAAAGTTTTGAAACTACATAGCGTAGCTAATATTAATTTCTTGCTGAACTTGAGCTTCTCATCAAGCGCCTTGAGCAATGTAACTTGCTAATTTACAGATCTTGGATTAAGAGACTTGTCCTAGTTGTATTTGGTTTAATTTCTTAAAATTTGTAGTTACAGGAGTTAGTCAACAGGTCAGCAGTATATGCTCAGGAATGGTTCAAGCATGCAAAAGAAGCAGCTCACGGAGGTAAATAAGTAAAAAAATAAGCATTCAATAAAGCAGTTTGTTTCTTACCATTTTGTGGAATCAACTTCATGGCACACAGGATACATGTGTGCGCATGTGCATATATGAGTGTGTGTACAAGTATATGTATTTATATAAAGGATATTGTGGTGGATATTGTTTGATTTTACTTGCTCTAAGTGGAAATTTGTTTACAGACCGCATTCGACTGGCAGAACTCTTTAAAGCTGAAGGAATGATGCCATCAACGCGGGACCTTGAGCGGTTCAGTTTCTGGGTATAAATTTTTGAAGTAAACAAAGGCTTGACATTAAAAGGCTGCCTCTTATTATGGTTATTGTCTAAAATCTTAACGCAGCTTGCAACCGTGGCAAATCAGAGGCCATCAGAGAGATTAGAGCTCTTGCGGATACGGGACACTAAAGAGGTAAATATTTTTTTCCCCTTATTCATTGGCAAATCATGCCAAGTACAACGACTAAAACCTATGTTTGAAAATCTGGACGAGACCGGCCTGGTCAATCTGGAAAGGGTGACCTGGTCAGTTCAAAACCTGCAGCCATTCAAAGACTAGGAAAACCCAGCTGACCCGGTTAGACCGGACCAGACCCAGATTTTGGCTTTTCTTGTTAAGGACTTGTACATTTGGATTGCATATTTCTTGTTTGAACTGCCTTTGTTTGCTTTCTTCTTCTGGCGGGATCACATCTTGTCTGTTTCTGGTTTATATTACGTGTATGTTGTTATTATGTGATGCTAGCCTAGTCTGTTTAAGTTTTGTTTGTTAAGCTGTTTAAATTTGGTCTGATCCTAGACTGAAAGAAGTAAATGATGCTAGCCTATTACGTGTATCTAATAAAATTGTAATATTGACTTCATGAAAGGTAAAATTTATGTGATGTATTCTCACGGGTTTAATGCATCAAATCCCCTCGTGATATATAAATTTGGCGTATTAGCCCCTTCTAATTTAAAAAATACGTCAAACCCCCCGTATAATAATTATTCATGCGCAAAACCCCCTCCACATGAATCGCCAAATAAAAGAAAAATGATTAATGTTTTTGCATAATTTAGAAATCTTGACAAACTTACTTGCATATTCAATCATAATATTAAGACACTTGATTTCCAATTTGTTAAGTTTGTTCTTAGAGGGGTTTTTGTGCATGAATAGTTGTAACGCGGGGGGTTTGATGTATTTTTTAAATTACAGACGCTAATACGCCAAATTTAAATTTGTTCTTAGAAGGGGTTTTGCGCATGAATAATTGTAACACGGGGGATTTGACGTATTTTTTAAATCACATGGGTTAATACACCAAAGTTATATATCACGAGGGGTTTGGTGCATTAAACCCTATAAATGTATAAATTTTTTAGCTAATGATCCCTTGATGGACACCACACAGTTTCCTGATCTCACCGTTGAATGTTTACATGCCACAAATGATTTCCACTTATTTATTGATTTCTTTTGCAGAGAATTAGCCGAGCCCTTATTTTCATGAGAGTGGAGGCACAGGGTTGTTGAGTACGCCATAAAGGAACGATGTATGCCACCCAGACCCAGTGCGTGTAGTTTCATCAATACATATAAACATACTTATGATCATAATCAACATTCTTTCATCCACATTTTAGAAGTGGAATGTGGATCCTAACCCTCTCCTCTTTCTTTTGCATTTTAAACTTTTCTTAAGAGTGCTTATATATTTTTATGTAGAGATTAGATACTCGTAATCATAATTATTAGGAAGGCATATATATATATATATATATATATATATATATATATATATATATAGAGAGAGAGAGAGAGAGAGAGAGAGAGAGAGAGAGAGAGAGAGAGTCATTCTCCTGTCCATCAGGTTTTGGTCCGAACGTCGTCCAAACACTGCCGTTCGGGGCGGTTTCCGGTGACATTTTTCGATGAAATTTTTATGGTATGTTCTTCATCAAGTCTAGTTTATCCACAAAAAATTTCAGCTCAAAATTCGATCGGGAAGGCCGTCAAAACAATTTTGGAAGTTGACTGTGTTTTTCTTTGTATAATGTTGCGCAGTTAACTTCCAAAAATTATTTGATGGTCTTCCCGATCGAATTTTGAGCTTAATTTTTTTGTGGATAAACTAAACTTGATGAAGAACATACCATAAACTCAGGCTCGACTCGGGGAGATATTATATTTTTCGTTCCCGTAACTCTTATTTCACTTAAATCATCATGGTTTGATCTTTTTATTTATTTTGGACAACATTTACTCTACTTTTAGTTGTTGGGCTTGTAAATTTCAATTTGCAAATACTAAGCACAAATATTCAAAGATTGTTTCATACTTGAGCTCAAGTTTGAACCCGAACTTTCGAGCTAATCGAACTTGTAACATTTGAGTTGACGAACCAAAATTATCGAGCTGAGTCGAGTCGAATCGAGCCATGTCAATATTTGCGAGTTGAGCCTGAGCCTGAATTTTTAAGCTCGTTCAAGTCGAGCTCGAGCCAATACAATATATTTCGAGCTCGAACCTATATAAACTCAGGCTCGACTCGGCTCGTTTGCACCCTTACCTGCAGCCATGATCCTTGCAGAGTATGGGGAGGTGAGTGCAATCCTAGGTTGTGCCGGGTTATTTAGGAGTGGACTCGGGCCGGTCCAACCGGCCTAGAACCGGACCGGCCCGCTACTGTGCGGGCCCGGCCCGGCTCGCTACTGTGCGGGCCCGGCCCGGCCCGGTGAACCGGTTGATTGGCCGGTTCGGGCCACCCGGCCCGGTGGGATGGCGGTTCGGGCTCGGGCCCTTCAAAAGGTGAACCGGCCTGGTCGGTTCGGGCCCGGGATGGACCATTTTTTTTTTGATTTTTTTTTAAGTTTTTGGGTTGGGCTGGGTATTTTGGACCATTTGAGGTGGTTAGGGTTGGTTTGGGGGTGAGGGGGAGGGTTGGGGGTTAACTAGGAAAAGCCAAAAAAAAAAAATAGAACCGAGGCCCGGCCCAGACCCGGGGGTTACCCGGGCCGGTTCCGCCCCCCCCCCCCCCCCTTCATGAACCGAGGCCCGGCCGGGCCCGAACCGGAACCGGTCCATCCCTAGGGTTATTCTCCGTTTGTCGATTCAGCTCGTCGATTTGCCTTTGTATGCCGGCCAACATCTTGTCCTGTGCCTCGGTGGTTGGGGCCATGAGGTTAACCACTACCAGAGGATTGTGCTGTGCTGTGCAGGTAGAACCTGTGTTGTGTTGTGCTGCCTTTGAATGAAGTGGGTGCCATGCCTGTCCACATATTGGAACCATGGTCCCACATTGCTTACCACGGGAGTTGACTCCCCAGCCCGGTGATTGTTGTGTGGCATCAACGATTCATCGGGGTGTGGTTTCGGGCTGCATAGTGTTGTCCCCCTTTGGGGGGGCTGGTCCCTCCATGGCCTCCCATATCTGGGGAGTGGTGGGTTCCGTCGATCCGAGTGTGGAGCGATGTGCGTAGGGATGGACCGTTTCCGGTTTGGGCCCGGTTCGGGCCCGGGCGGGCCTCCGTTCATGAAGGGGAGGTCCGGGTAACCTCCGTGTCGTGCCGGGTCGGGCCTCGGTTTTGTTTTTGGCTTTTCCTAGTTAACCCCCAAGCCTCTCCCTCACCCCCAAACCAACCCTAACCACCTCAAATGGTCCAAAATATCCAGCCCAACCCAAAAACTTAAAAAAAATCAAAAAAATAAATAAATAAATTGGCCCGGCCCAGGTCCGAACTGGCCGGGCCAGTTCACCTTTTGAAGGGCCCGAGCCTGAACCACCAGCCCACTGGGCCGGGTGGCCCGAACCGGCCAACCAACTGGTTCACCGGGCCGGTTTGGGCCCGCACAGTAGCGGACTGGTTCGGTTTCGGGCCGGTTGGCCCGGCCTGAGTCCAACCCTAGATGTGCGAGATCCCACAGTCTCGTTTGTTCGTTCGCCGAATGGTTGCATGGAGCGGATGGGGGAAAATGGCGTACGCTCGGTTTCTGTTGGGTACACGGTCCGTTCCGCATCCTGTTTGTCTGCCATGTGTCGCATGGTTTCCGCTAGTTCCCTCATGATGCGAGGGTCCCTTCTGGCTTCTAGGGACTAGGGGAATCAGATCAGTGATGTCCCGGATGTCTCCGCAGCTACACATGTTACTGGACTGGCCACCAGTTGCCAGGGTGCGGGTTCTCCTGTTGTTCGCTAGTTGTTCGGAGAGGTCATGGGTTCGTCCAGAGTTGCTTCTTGCCATCTCGCTTGCTTAGAAAGTTCTTATGGAGCTGTTTTTGGTGAGCTTGTTTAGGAAAGACTTTTTTATCGGCACCAGTATTGATGTGTATTCCTTCATCCCAAAAGCCCAACACGTTTCCAATAGGTTTTGAGTTTGGAGTATTATGAATGTATGATGCAAGCAAGTAAGATGAGTCAATAATAAGAGTAGTAAGTGGGTCGTATCTTATTAAATAATAATAAGGGTCCATATACAACGCACTTCAATTACAAGTCGAGGGGTTGTTCATCTATCTCGATGATAAGATAATTGTTATATGTTAGGGAGAATAAGTGTCAACCCCTTACAATGAAATAAATATTACTATTTATACTGCCATGGGGTAGGTGATGCTGGTGATGTGGAGGATGGTGGTTAGATGGCTTCCCAATCACCTAATCTCTTGCATTAAATGTGATTCTCACCAATATCTCGGTTTCTCGTCATAATATCAGACGAGCGTCTTGATGAGCTTAGATCGAGATGCCAAGGATGTGGTCTTGTTCGTATTCCATGGGTCTAGGACAAGCATCCTCCAAATCCTCAGGCCTGGGTCCTGTAATGTACAAGGGTGTGGATCCGTAGTTCCGTATATCCGGTGGACTGTAGCCGAGGATCCCGCAATATCACTTGGCCCTTGTTAGGGGACGAGCGCCGTCTTCCCCTAGGTCCACCCCGACGAGCGTCTACCAAGCCCTCTGCTGGACCGTACCCAAGATGGGCCTTGATAGTTCCCACGTTAAGGGATAATGGGCCGACTTACTATCGGGCCTATTAACCCAACAAATTGTAATAATAATTACAATTATTATTATTATTATTATTATTATTATTAATATTATTATTATAAAAATAATAATTATAATTACATCTATAATTATAATTGAAATTATAATTATAATTATAACTTCTTTTGAAAAAAATACTTCGTATAATTATAACTAATAGCAACGGCAGCAACATTTGCGGGTTGGTATGTTAACGAATCGAATTGTGCTCCGAGTCACCCGGTTCTGGGTTGAACCTTCCGGTCCGGACCTGATTCTTGCAACATAGGCTGTTTTGCACACAAACATTGGCTTGTAAACACGGACAATTATCTATAGACAAACTCAAGATGTTTTTACTTGGACAGTTGGACTTATTTTAGTTCTAAACCAGACTAGTTCAGATCAAACTTCGATAGTTGTAAAGTACACATAAATCAAGCATTTACCAAACTAGATCAGTTCCGACCAAAAAATTTGACACTCGTGATGTTTTTACTTGGACGGTTTTCAGTCCCAGATCAGATAGACTTAAACAGACCAGACCAGATTTACATAGTTATAAAATACACTTAGACCAGACATTTACCAGACCAGACCAGTTTAGACCAGACCAAACGAGACCAAACTTGAACGGACCAGACCAGGCCAACAAATTTCGGTCCAAGTAAAAACATTCTCAAATCTCAATACCGCATGCCAGTGTACACAAAGTACATGAAACATCTTTTAACGAAAATATGCGTGTTGAATGGATGAAACATAAACAGATAATTTTGCATGGACTCTGGGAATAAATTTGCACTATGTTTACAGGCACAACATTTATTTAATGGGAACTTTATTCATACATGTCTGGACTCTGGAGTAAGGTTTGCCTTCAAAGTATAAGGCCACTGCACCATTTACAATATTAGGAAGATTTCAGAATTTACAGAAAACGGCTAAACACTGAAGAAATCTCCATTTTTGCCGGTAGATGAGCAACACAGACTACAATCTACATACATATTTAAGCCATTAATGGTTAGAAGGCTTTAAGATGGACGATAAAAACAGCACAAAAATCTAGAAACATCAATTGGGGTCCACTAACTCTTTGCAGATCAAGCAGGTAATTCTCGTCCTGGGTTTTGTACAGCTGGAACAACATATTCACGTAAATCCATATTAATAAAACTGGGAGGAGCATTGATATAAATAAACAAATGTACTGCATATGAGCATATCATTATTTGGAAGCCAAAAACTAATTTGATTATCACTAGGAGGAGTGATGCTGTTGAGGAAGAGGACCAGGGGGATGATAAATCTCACGTGAGAAGAATTGCGATAGAAAAGCTACACAAACCTCTACCACATAATTTTTACTTTATTAATCCTCGTGCCGGTCAAACTTGTCAAAGTTTTAAGGGATAGGAGTATGAAAAATGAAAAATCAATCCAATGGTGATGACTAAACCAGTGACGTGCATGTAGGGATCAAGTTGCTATCACCAAAAAAAGTTGACACACACACACATATAGATTTAGGATCAAATGAGAACAACGCTTAACGAGAGAACGTGAGAACACCACATTTACCTCAATATGATGCACAATGAGGTTCGTCCAATGCACATTTTCGTGTTCGGCATAGTATTTACCAAAATGACACCGTCATTATTTATATTGGCTTATTTGGAGCAAAGTCAAAATGTGCACCAGACGGGCTCTATTTTGTATCACATTGTGTTAGACCGTTAGTTGTGAGTGTTCTCACGTTAAACATCGTTCTCATTGGAACCGCACCCTATATATATATATATATATGTATATATAAGAGATCAAATACAAACCATGCTTAAAATACTAACCTACAAACTCAATAATATGCAGCACTTTGAACTTCAATATGTAGTAAAAATAATGTAAAGATGCAAGGGTGGGATCACATACAAACTAGTCCTCCCATTCAAATCATCTTTACATTATTTGTATTGCACATTGAAGTTCAAAATGTTTCATATTATTTAAGCCTTAAAATAGTAGTTTCATATTTAGATTATTTGTATTGCATATTGAAGTTCAAAGAGTGCATCTTTACATTATTTGTACTGCATATTGAAGTGCAAAGTGTTGCATATTATTGAGTTTGTAAGTTAGTAAATTAAGCATGTTTTGTATGTGATCTCACTCCTATATATATATAGTTGCTATCACAAAAAAAGTTGATATATACATAGAAGTGCTCCTGTCCAACACTTTTCTGTCCGAACGTCTTCCGAACACCGCCGTTTGGGGCGGTTCCCGATCAAATTTTTTGATGAAATTATTATGGTATGTTCTTCATCAAGTCTAGTTTATCTACAAAAAATTTCAACTCAAAATTCGATCGGGAAAGCCTTTATTGTAGTCAACTTCAAAAAATCATTTGGAGGCCTTCTCGATCGAATTTTGAGGTGAAATGTTTTGTGGATAAACTAGACTTGATGAAGAACATACCATAAAAATTTCATCGAAAAATTCGACCGAGAATCGCCCCAAAAGGCGGTGTTCGGACGGAGGCTCTGGTCCGAACGTTCGGACCTGAGCATCTCTCTCTCTCTATATATACATATATAGTTGCTATCACCAAAAAAAGTTGATATATATATATATATATATATATATACACACACACACACACATACACACACACACAATGAAACAAGAACGCGAATTTAACACACCAAAAAATTACTCCCTGCATCGCTTTTAATCAATCCTTTGACATAGACACATTTTATAGAAAATGGAAAATTACTCTCTGTAGTTTAATACAGGGGTAAAGTTGCGTACATCATATCCCCCTTACTCCACCGCAGGTGGGAGCCTTTGCGACACTGGGGTAATAATGAAGAAGAAGAAGATAATTTTTTATTTAAGAAAGCAACAAAAATGAAAGAATCAAGAAAAAGGGGTCAGAAGTGTAATAACAGACGCACATATGATATATTAGTTCCAAAAGAATTGGTATTTCAGTAAGTTTGTTTTCTTTTCTAGACGCGCAAGAATGCAAGATGGTTGTCTTAGTCAATGAGCCTAAAATACCTGCATTTCAAACTTGACCACACCTTGAGGCAATGGACTGTTATTTGCATTTACAACACTTTGACTAACAACAATACTGTCATCACTCATGCAATTGTTGCTTGTCTTGCGAGTTGGATAATGAGAATAACACAGCATGCACTTCATATTATAGTGCCCAATTTTTTTCCACCGGACATTTAATTCTTGCAACGCTCCAAGAACTTGGGTCATTATCTCTTGTGGACTTGCAGGGGACTGGCAATCAATCAATTTAGGAAACAAAAAAAAATCTTAAATAGAAGTGTCATTTGTGTTTGATTAAGAATGAACTTCAAAGAGCATGTAAAGGTGCCATGTTTCACCATGCTATCGTATGGTTGTTAAAAAAGCAAAGCGTGCAAATGAATAATTCTGCAAGTCTATCTGTAACAACTTGTGAAAACTTTATGGCTCAAGGTCAATTACACAGAACTCAATAAAAATAATGACTAACCTGGAGTCCAACAAGCCACTTTTTCTCTCTTGACAATAACGAGTTCATACATGCCCCAACCGACATCTCAAACTCAACATTTGGAAACAATCCTGAGGAAAATACCTCCTGGAGAAATACAATTAATAAAATTCTAGATTTGGATATAATCAGTCGGTTTTCACTGGCAGTTTTGAATTCATTTTTGGTGAAAGAAAAGGAATTGGATATCAAAACATTATCCAAATATAGTGATGAAATAGAGGTGGAAAGATAAAAGCAGGGGATAATGTCATGTTGTGCTGGTGAATGAACATGGAATATAATTACTGTATGTACTCAAGGACTTCACAAAATGAATACCATTGATTCCACAAACTCAGCTCCGAGATATCCACCAGAAACAATGGATCGGCTATCATACAGCAAATAGTATGCAACTGTGCCCTGACATATTGAAATGAGAAACAACTCAGATAAATATAGTAGTAGAGGAAGTGCTACGACTCTTTCTTTGTGTCCATCAGTTTCTGTTATTCACAGGAAGGAAAAGTAGGACTAAGTAATGCTCATCATGTGTTAAGCTATTTGTCAATTCATTATATGCATCTGTAATTCAAACCAGAAAGAAAAATGATATTCAAAGAACTGACTGAAGTAGCGATATAATCCCAGTACAAGGTCATGAAGTAGTGATATAACCCCAGTACAAGGTCATGAAGTAGGATAGGACAGTGTACAACCAGTTCAAAATGTGCTTTTTTCAATCTTATTCTGTTTAATTCTTAGGCAAAGCATACTTAGGTAGAGGAAAAAATACAATAAAATGTAATGACCGCCAAAAATTAAAAAGTGAATGGATTCAAGCTGTATACATCATTTTGGTCTCTATTTTGTAGAGAAGAAAGTAGCTGGCCCCTATCAAATCCCTTTCTAATTACTTCTTGCAGTATCTCCTCATCGATCTGCACTAAGTGAGTGAGCTTATGTTAATACATGTGCTTGAAGCAAGACTTGCCATGAATAATCAATACAAACTACAAAAGGTTAGATAAGAGAAAAAAGAAACTCACTAGATGAGTACTAAATTCAATATAGCCACTCTGACTTTGCGCTAACAGTTGCTCTCGACTAACTATGGCCAACCGATGTCTAGGCTCCGAACTTAATATTTTAAAAACTCAATCATTTAAATTCACAATTTCGCATCATTTGTTATAAGCAGTGTAGGAAGAGTGAAATTTAGTTCAACTGAACATGATAGAACTACCAAAATTATACTAGGATGATTAACACATGAATATCATGGTTTAGATGAAAAACCTTCTTTATGTGTTGTATCGCATCGGGAGGAGGAACTGCCAAATAGCGAGGAAGATGAGATTTGAACCAAGGGTGCTGACGAATTCCAGTAATACTTATTCGCTTCAAAGGATCTACCACCAACATTTGTGGTATCAAATTTCTAGCTCCAGCCGATAAATGACTTGGAAGAGTGTATAAACCACCCTGAATGACAATGGTGTCGGCCACACAAACAACCCTTAGCTACAGATCACCAATTACTGTAATGTACTAAAATCGCAAATTAGATCTATAGTTCTTGCCTTTATTTTTTTGAAGAGGTTAGGAATGTTCTCATCATCAAAAGGAAGCGTACCACAGAGAAGAGCATATAATATAACACCACAACTCCAAACATCTACCTCAGGACCAGCATAAAGTTTACCAGAAACAACCTGCAGAAAAGTTTCAGCATTAAAACTTCAGTGATTAAACTAGCTGCCTCATTTTGCTAGTCTGGAATTAAGTTACCCAGCACACATTCAAATGATTTGATACCTCTGGAGCAGCATAGTTTGGGCTTCCACAGCTTGTCTTGAGAAAATGGCCATCACGCATAATATTACTCAAGCCAAAATCTGCAATCTTCACATTGCTCCTGGAATCCAAAAGCAGGTTCTCAGGCTTAAGGTCCCTGTGAACCACCCTGTTCCTATGGCAGTATTCAACCCCAGAAATGATCTGTTTGCAATGAAATGAGAAAGGCATAAACATGAATAGCAATGAGCCAATGACAGTAAAAATTACAGAAACACACACACACATCCATTGCATCAGATTCCCCTCATGGAAAATAAGATAACCCATAAAAATTAAACTCTATGTCTCTACCTGCTGAAAAAACTTCCGCGCTTCATCTTCTTGTAGCCGGCCCTTTTCTACAATGTAATCAAATAGCTCTCCAGACTTCACATATTCCATGACAACAAATATGTCACTTGGTGTTTCTATGACCTCATAGAGCCGTATAACATGTGGATGAACAAATAATCTACATATCTTTGTTTCCCTTCTTACTGCAAAATATCAGGAAAAAACTCAAACAATGCACATTGCCCAAAATACAAATTACATGGTTAAAACATGACAATGCTTCTCTTTGAGAGCATATGCGGTATACGTTTCTCCTCCATGTCAGGGCTCCTCATTTTACGGCGGTTGAGTATCTTGATAGCCACTTTGTGTCCGGTTAGCAAATGTTCGGCAATTTTCACCTTACCAAATGAACCATGGCCAAGAGTTTTCCCAATCCTGTAGTTTCTTAGAGGGTTGTCACTAGTACTACCAGCTCTGGTATCCATTTACGCAATCCAACCCTGATTGAAAACCATATCAAACAAAAGAAATACATGCTAACCCATTACCCATCAGACCCTTGAAACTCAAAAGATACAAGCACACATGCACATATAGTTAGGCAAGCTTAATAAAAGTTGCAGATATACTAAAACATCTTCTACTTAGAGAACAAAATTATACTTCGTAATTAAAAAAAAAGCTTATGTTTATCAGGACTTAAGTTATAATCCCTCTTTTTACCCCAGAAACTTAACCTGATTGATTTTTTTGTCTGAAAGATATGTATTAATGTATTAAAGTGCAAATTTTAGATGCTGAAGGGCGCCATTAAAACCAATATTTAGTTATTTACCCCTACAAGTAGCAAACCAAATCTCAGAAGCTTACGAATTAAGTACTTCAGCCGATGGATAGTTAAATAAAGCTTTAGGAAACACTACCAGAAAGCGAGTGTCTAAGTAGAGTAGCCTAGCCCACATTCAGGCGAAGACTATGAGCTGAAATTCATGATTCAAAAACCTTACAAATGAACAATCTAACTAATCCTAAGCATAACGAATTGCAGCTGCTATTGAATGGTAGGAAAAGCAGCAACTGTTGTTTGTGATAATTATAACTGGTCGAATGAAATTAAATTGGACAATAACAGTACTTTTTAGTAGATCTCAAGCTCCGGTGTATGGGACGACCACTGAGAGCCTGCAAGGCGAGAACCAGATCATGAAATCGTACGCAAAAAGTGAGTGAAGAAATTTGTCCTGTCGTGAATCTCGTCTCAAAATATTTTCATACGAGGTTTTACCAATGAATCAACGGCATATAATAAATAAAATAAAAGCCAAAACAATAAAAAGTGTATAAATAGGGTCGTGATGAAATGTTTTGAGCATATTCGTCATCAAATTTAGTTTGTGCATATCAAATTTCAGCTCAAAATTTAATTAGAAAGATAGGTAAACAAATTCTTGAAACATATTGCATTTTATATATGTACAAAATGTGTTTTAAGAGAAGAGCCGCCACATGAAATGACGTCTTTTGTACCGTAAGAGATTAGAAAGTGGCGGTTTTTGGAAATTATTTATTTAATTAGCATTATTTCAGAAAAAAACTCACTTATTTGAGCGGAAGGTAATCAAAATTAGGTGTCACACATGACCCTTTCATAGATTAATTTTTCATTCTTTGACGTTCTAATTTGGTTGCGTTGGGGATTTATGGTTTTAGACAAGCAATTCTCATGTTGTTTGTTTTATTGGTACTTTTATCTTTTTGCAAAGTTGCAGCTTAATTAATATCAATGTTATCGTGTTATATTTGTAACAATACTAATATATTGTTACTTTCGCTCAATTGATTCTAAAATATGTGCATTCATTACACATAAATATAAAGAAGAGTAAATTCCCTAAACGAGACTGAAAGAATGGAAAAATGCAAAACTAGGACTATCATGTTTTTTTGGACTTTTTAAAGACTAAAATGTAGTAGCTTGACAAAATTATCCTTAATATTAAAACTCCAGTCTACATCGCAGCATTCTCCTATGAACTGCAGTTCAGCCACCGACTATGGCCTCGCAAGTCGCAACGCACCTCCTCCGTCGACCGCAGGTAATCTACTTCTTCTTCCTCTTCTTCTTCCTCTTCTTCTTCCTCTTCCTTTCTTTCTTTCTTTATTCTTCTTCTTCTTCCCCTGGTGCACTTCTTCCCCCTCCTGCACTCTGTTTTATGTTTTTTTTCTATTCATCTATTACCTTTTTAAATTCTATTTATTGATTTGGATTTTTTTGGATTTAAATTTTATGTATGCAGAAAAATGCCACTTTTATAATCTGAGAATGTCAAAATTATTGGTTATTTGAAAAAACTGACACGTTTGTGGCAGTATATATATCAAAATGACAATATGAAAATGTCATATGTCCATAAGAAAATGTCATTGTTATGACATTTTATGGCATTTTTATGGTTTATCTGAGAATGATATAACTGAGAATGTCATGTTTTTATACAAAACTTCCATCATCATGTCATTGTTCTTGACATTCTCACTGAGGTTTGTAAGTACAAAACTTGGGATTTTGATATTTTCAGATTTCAAATAAATAAAAAAAATCAATCCAAGAAAAAGAAAGAAGAAGAAGAAGAAGAAGAAGAAGAAGAAGAAGAAGAAGAAGAAGAAAAAGGAGATGAAGAAGAAGAAAAAGAAGAAGGGAAGAAGATTACCTACCTGACTTGGCTGAAGAAGAAGGGAAGAAGGGGGCTACGTTCAATCGCAGGGATTACCTACCGGCGGAGTGGTTGCGTTCAATCGCACGGGAAGGGCTGCAATCGCAGACGTTGCAGATTAACGGGAATTGACTGGGAGAAGAGTCGGTCGATTAGGTTTAATACATCAGGGGGAAAATTGTAATGTGGAGTCCTATTTAGGGAATAGTAAACTTAATGTCCTATTTAGGAATTTTGACAATGTTTTGATCTTATTTAGGGCAATTTTTTCTATAAAGAATTATTTATTTACTTATGCGATATATAATGCGTAGTATGTGGCTAAGAAAATTGATACTGTTGTAGGGAAGTGAGAGAGGTGTGTTCATTCCATTAGTAAGCCCCCTTTAAATAGGAGGGATTAGGGTTTTACAGGGAATGAGCCAATGGGCCAATTAGCTCAATACATATAATCCCTAGATACACTTTCTATCTATAACGAATGCACATTAAAGTAATTTCCTTCAACACTCCCCCTTGTGCCGAGTTGTAGATAGAATGATGGTATCAGTCTTCTTGCATCATCAAAACTCTGTCAAGTAACAAAACCCCTGTGGAAAAAAAATAACCTTGAGTGGAGAAAAAGGAGTATAGCATCAAGATAGGCTTCTTTCATTAAGTCTATCTTTATTTGATCTTTGTTGTGATCATTAAAGTTTATATGTATCGTTACCTCATTAAAAACCTTACCAAGTAACAAAACCCAGTGGGAAAAAATAAAACTTGGGTAAAGGAAAAGAGTGTAACGTAATCTAGTTGGGGTACTCCCCCTCAAGTCTGCATTTACCCTTGATATTTACATTAATCAAGGGTGTTTGTAAAATATGTGCATTTCAATACTTGTCACATTAATTACCTTAGCGAAGACACACAATAGAGGAATATAATTCCTTTAATTCTCCCCCTGTGTGTCGAGCGTAGGAAATTTTCTCCAATTAACCTGCGAAAACGTTGCCAATGAACAAAACCTAATGGGAAAAACAAACATCGGTCAAAGTGAAAAGGGAGTATGGTGCACTAAAACCTACACGTCAATTACATTTGACTGCGATATAGTAATTATGCTCTTTCTTCAACATTGTTTACTTTCACAAAATTAAAATGTGGGATGGTGCATATTATGCTGTCTCATAAAAATAACCTTACCAAGTAAAAAAAAACCAATGAGAAAAAATAAACCTTGGTCAAAAGGGAGAAAAGAAAAAGAGTACAACGCACCAATATAATTGATGAATGGATGCACGTCTGTTGTTGGTATCGTACACAAACAGAGTGTTTGCACTAACATCTAGAACAACTAGAACCCAATGTTTAGAAACAAGATTAAATGGAAAGTAGATGTAGTCGCATTCATACCACGGGCGTAAGTATTGAGTTTCATCGCCTGCAATAACATCAATCACATATTGATCGTTGGTTGCTTTTGATACATCACCTGAACCGGACTTGTAAGAATCATAAAGGGCATTAAGATGACTTGGAAAGTTTGCAGGAGGTAGAAAATTTTTGGGGAAACTTAAATGTAGCAGCTTTCAGGTGCAGTTAAAAATCAATGCTCTGGATATGCTGAAATAATAGAAATACAGTTAGTATAACAGAAGAAATAGAGTACAAATAACTTTACACATTCAGAGGGATATACAGTTACATACTGTGGCATCAAGCCATTGACCAGGTTCATGTAGCCGATAGAGCCAAGATTTTCTCTCTACTTCGAATCCACAATCCAAATCCAGATGAAAATTTTCATCAATTTCCGGTGTGTACTTGGTCACTGTACATAAAGACCGGTGACCTCTAATAACTCCTTCCATAATTTCATTATAGAAATTAATTCTTTCAGACTCAGATTTGAACTCAGCAAACGGATCACGGCTGAATGGACAAATAGCTTGGACAGAACATTCCTTCTTCTTAGCTTTGCGAAGAGCATCAGAACCTGGAGTGTAACGTATTGGGGAACGCACCTTGCGTTTCGGTCTGCCTGGTTCTTGTATAGCATCAAAGCAAATATTTGCACTAGTCTTAGAAGGGGAAACCTGTACAATAGAGTTAAATAAGTGTAAGTATTTGTACAATTAATTAAATAACAAAGCCACAAATCACATTCGTATTAGAAATACCAAATGACTAAGCATGTAAAATAGTGAAATACTATGTAAGTTACAAGAATAGGACCTGGATGTTTAAGGGAGTATCTGACTGGGCTTGAGGTGGTAAAGAAGATGCCAGATTAACAGTAGGCAAGACTTGCGGCTACAGAACAAAAATAAAATAAATCAAACGTCTGCAAAGATGTCACTGAGTAAATTGACAAAAAAAGTGACAAAGAGAACTTACTTTTGGATCATAGAGTTCAAAAGCCTCAATCATTACCTGCGTCCAACCAACATTGGTGGTGTCATCAACATCCACAATTATTTCACCATCAGTAACATCCAACACTGCATTGGGAGGTTTAGATACTTTGGGAGGTTCATTGTGTTGCTCTACGTCATGGGGAGGTTCAATTGCAGAGGGGTGAGCTTGATGAGAGTCAACAGGAGCTCTGGTAAATGGCTGTGGAGACCCTTTTCCAGTATCAGATACTTTGGACTTTGAAGCTTCAAGAAGACTTTTGAGATTATCAATGACAATATGTAGATCTTTGAACTTATCATGAAATCCTAATATCTCATTTCTTAACTTTTGAACTTCTTCCTCAAGCACCACAATCCTAGCTTCATAATTTGTTGCTTGACTTGAACTTGCAGCTTGATTATTTTGAGGAGCAGAATCAGAGAAGTGAGTTTGGGCATCAGAACCTGTTGTAGTATTAGGTAGTGGTGGGGTAAATCTATCTTCAGATTCATGAGAAGGTTTGACACGCCTTTTTTCTTCAATGGGACTGGTTTTGGAGGGTTGTCAAGCTCACGAACACTGTCAGATTGTGAAATGGGAGTGAAAAGAAACTGAAAAAAAAGAAGGAAAGTGTAAATATATTAAACAAGATTTTGAAAATAACAACAAAAAAGAAGAAGAGAATAAATGAAAAACCTACTCCTTTGTTGCAAAAGATTGCATCCTTCAAGGATTCGCTGGATGGCTTTGCAGTGGAGGACCATTTCAGTATACTTGGTTCAGAACAAGGATCTACTAGATGAGCTAGATTTATAACTTTAAGAGCGGGGAATGACTCAAAAGCCCACACTTGTAATGCAATGACACAACCGTAAACATTGTAATGGGAAGGATTAGATTCAATGCTCTTTAAAGAAGCCTTGAAATAACCTACCATGTCATCCCAAATGACTCTGCCCCATGGGTAAGAATTAAAAGCAGCTAGATCATCTACAAGGTTAAGGTATGTTGAATGGATTGAAACTTGACCTTCGGCAGCCAAAAAAGCATGGGACAAAACATATAACAAGGAAAGCTTAACGATGTTTTCCTCTGGTTTTCTACCCCTCTGAATGGACTGAAATACACTCTTAATATCCCGACGTTTGACTTTTGTTTTACAGTCTGGAAAGTATGTATTCCAGATATCACCCCTCTCAGAATCATTATCATGCACAATAGAGACAATTTCATCATAAGGAAAGCCCATAATGTGGGAGAAATCAGAAACAGAAAATGAGATGATCCTACCCTCGATTTCAAACGACAAAGCATTCTGAATGTTGCTTACCTCAACCATGTTCCCTAAAAGGTAATGTATAAGTTGACCACGGGACATTTCTTTAGAAGCTAAGAATTTTCCAAAAACAGACTTCTCAAAAATAGCAAGTTCGTGAGGAAGAAGTTTAGACCTAACAAGGTTTATGGATTCATAAAGTCTAGAAAAGGTATCAACTCTCCTATTCTTAATGTCCATGTAAACAACATCCTTGCTGACAAGTCTCTTGAAGGTCTGAAACAAACATATTAAAAAGGAGAAGATGAATTTGATATACATAATAGTGGAATAATGTAGGTACTGGTCTTTTAACAACAGAAAATAAGCAAACAAAAGAATGCATACACATTTTGATTTGTGTGGCAATGATAAACGCGAAGATGAGCGTTTTGCTAGACTTGGACTAGGAGATAATGTAGAAGCACTGTCAGCCATCTGAAAAATATATCAAATGAGGTACACAATACACAAACAGAACCATAAGCATCACTTTTATTGAAATTAAGAGCAAAATGATGAGTGCATATAAATAAAGAGGAGATACCACAAGCACAGTATAACATGTAATAGTCCAAGTTGCAGTTGAAAACCGTCGATAGATAAATGCAATCAAAACAGTAGGAGAAGAGCAGTAATCTTACGAGATTGAAAAAAAATACAATGTTGGTGAAATTGGAGTGTGGAAACTAACGAGATAAAATCGACAGCGTACCTCAAGTAATGAGCCGAGTAGGAACAGAGGTGCTGAACGTAGTTGAGAAACACGACGAGTGGTGAAGTCGAATTCGAAATTGCCGAGTAGAAACACGGCGAATATAGACGGGGGAGAAGAAATGGTGTCGCGTATCAAGCAATCGAATCTTTACCTTCCATTGTTAATCGGCATCGAAGAGCGAGAAGAAAGTCGACATTCAAGAGCGCGAAGAAAGGCGGTGCAGAATTTGCAGAGACGGCTAATTCTTCTTCAAAAGGTGGGTGGGTAACCGGAAAGGAAGTTGTGATTACCGGCTAAACATGTTTCAAAAATTGAGTGAAGTCATATTTTTGGAAAAATGAAAAGTGGTCATATTTGTGTCTTGAGAAAGTCCAATAGTAATTTTGGTGCCATTTTTATCAAGGTATTACGTATATAACATCTTGGTTTATTTCCTGGTAAATATATCCTCATATAAGAAAGTATCAATGAAGTAAGGGGATATCCATCATCAGTAAAACTCAAATCACGTTACTTTGTGTTAGAGTGATACTTTTAACATTTCCAATTCCTTTAGAAATATTATTATCATCAAACATTTAATTAATTTATAAGGGATGAATAAAGATTATACCAATTGTTTCATATAGATATCAAAGTACATTCTTGATACTATTTCAATGATGATATACTATGTATTGGTCCTGTGTTATTTTCAGCTAACACGTTCTTGATAATGTATTATTTGGTCGAATGTGTTTGTCAAAGTACAATCATGCGCATATTGCACTTTTATAGGGAATTTCTTCTCCCAATAACTTTCCAATAATGGATATATTTTCTAACATCCATATTTCGACCAATAATGGGAGTGCTAACGGTTTACATTTATCCATGCTAATTTGCCTGAGAACCTTTTTGGATATATTCAACCGGTGAATTATTATTCAACCAACTCGGTGTTTTCAAAACAACCTGAGTTTCCCAAGATCCTTTATCTCAATTATGACTTCCAAGTCTCTAAGATTTCTCATTTTCTTTAATATGAGTACATACTATGTCTATATCTTTGACATATAATGATACTTGGAGGGAAAACATAATCTATCTTTTTCTATCCCTTTTCAGTCAAGTGGTCACTTAGATGGGTATGTCACTTTCGTCTGGATTGATTTAATCCAAATGTGAACGTTTCAATGTAAATATAAAATGTAATGTAAAACCACTTGATTAAAGATAATAAAAACATAACAAATACTTCATATACATCTATTTAATGAAATTCTATTGAGACATTTAATGTCCACAATCTTTAGCCGCGTCTCCATTACTTTGGAGTCTACTTATAGATTAAGTAGTTGAACATTTTTGTGTTCAAAATAGAGAGGTATAACTTTTCATATTTGAATCCAGGGCGTTGTGAGAATAATTTGGACCTCATTATCTCAGTACGCTTTCAAACAAAAAATTATTTCATGTCCTACAGGCTTTACACTTGGTTGATTAGCACTATGATACCAAATACCTGTCTCTTTGTCAAATATTAAATTTATACCTGGATTACTTGTACGCATTTAGTTAGGCCAATATTCTCATTGCTTTCATATTGCAATAGAGTATGGTTCGATATCATCGTGCTCTATGCTCCTTTGAGCAACTGTATAAATATACCGTCAGTATAAGTGTAAGGTCTATCATTCAACTCACACACACTCTCATTAACATTGAGATTTTAATTCTCTGAAATCATTTAAACTTCGGGGTGTCCCCCATTATAAATTCATGGACATGTTTAATCAGAGATAATCTCATGAGAGGAATTCATATGATGACGAGTATATTGGTTTGTGCCTTATCTACCCTCTACTACTTGGGGTGGATAATTAATCGAACCGTGTGGCTTCCCTCTATTCCTTTAGAGAGCCACGGCCTCAACCACAACCCCACTGCTTGTGATTGCAATGCTTCTTCCTTTAGCATTGTTTCTTTTAATTTAAATTCAAGCCTTATAAATATGTTTGCAGCTAGTGTGTATAATCTGATTACTTAAATCATTTATGATACCACTTTAACTTCAATGTTACATTTTGAAGTCTAAGATTTATCATTGAGACAAAGTAGTGATGTACCATCATAATGATTTTGTCATTCAATTAGAGAGTTCTTTCTCTAATCTCCCTCTAATGACACGAAAATCAATTGTCTCATCAAAGTCGTATCCCGCAAAGCGGTGTACACATTATTTGTTAAGGCTAGTAACGGATTATTGTTGGGGATTCATATCCAACATAAACATCATTTTTCTTTTAAAACCGATTATAGTGCGTTGTGGGAGACACAATAGGCACAACTATTTAACAACCACATATTCATAAGTAGAACATCTCAGGCTAATATCCAGTCACCAACTGGTATACATAAACGTGGTTGTCTAGTATCGGTTTAAAAAAACAAATGTGTAAGAGTGCTTGCATATTGCATAATCCCATAAAAAATTATTAGTGCGCGCATAATAGATATAATATTCACCATCAACATTCTGTTAGATGTGATTTTTACTGAGTTCTTTTTTTTCACATGGGATGCGAGATGTTTTTCTTTGATCTCGAAAAATATGCAATAATCATCAAGTACTTTTGATGAGAACTATCTAGCAGTAACAAGTCATATAAACTTGATTGGTCGGGTGATGGACCTTTAATAAATAAGTTTTGCTAGAAGTTTTGCAAATGCAACATTTTTATGCAACAGGAAAATAGACAGCATGAGTAAATTTCTACCAAACCATAATCACTTAAATGGCCCGCATTTTGGTAGATGAGTCGTCACATATCACATTGTATTGAAAAAATGAGATATCTTTATTGTTATTTCCTTAACATATGTGGACATGTCTCGATTCTATTTTTGCTAAGGAGCAAACTTTAAGAAATAACTGACGTGCCTTCTACTATATCTGTAAGGCATAATGAAAGGTAAATATTTCTTCTCGTACTTTAGAAGATTGATATTGTTTTTCTATTTATCAATGCTAAAACCAAAAATTTACATTGTGTTGGATCTCATTTCATCCTTTATTCGAATAATTAATAACCTAAATGAGTTATTTCAAAGTTTGTATGAGTCAATGACCACTTTGTCTCATAATCTGCTTAAATATGCATTTTCTTATGCATTTATTAGATGCAATCTAATATTTTCTATCTCATTTTTATAGCGAGTTTCCATGTTAAAAAAAACATTGAGGGTACCTTGGTGGACATTGGCGTCCTCACATTGTGAGGGTTCGGGGAAGCCCCACAAAGGTATATAAGACCATTCTTGTTACTTTGACAAGAGGCTGGTCACCAGATTCAAACTCATGACATGACTCCATTCTATGTGAGGACATGAGTACAATTGTTTCAATCATAACTGATTTTAAGGAATTACTTCGATAAATATATTCCTTAATTTATTGTACATCACCACAATGTGTTAAAACACCTATTTGTCACAGATTTCAATAATTTACAAATGTCACCCATATACCTTAGAGTGCTATGACCCTTGACTGTGGTACATATCATTCTAGTATTTTGTAGATATATTCCTTTGTATCCATTCTTTTTTGAATAAAATTCATAGATATGCTTGTAATGAATTCGAATGCATAAACATCTCAAATATAATTTCAGATAGAACAATGAGATGTTAAATTAATTAAAAATCTCAAACGAATATAATTGATACCAAACTTTAAGACTTGAATAAAAGTCTAATTAGAAGTAGTAATGTTCATATTTATAAACCTCATGAAAGAGTAAAATAAAAAATGGATAAACCCAACAATTAGAGAATGTTCTTATTCTCAAAATAGTAGACAATCATGAAACTTAATTTATATTATCATGCAGTGAATCTCTTGTTCTTTAGAGATTCTACGAAGATAAAAACTAAAAGTATATTTTCAAGTTATATATATCCTGACGAGATAATCACATTTAATCCTCTTATATTAAGGGATTTACTTTAAAATTTAAATTTTCAATTTTTTATTTGGAAATTTCTTTATCCAAATTACTCTTGGGAGGTTTGTTTATCCCAAAAAAATATTGTAATTGCATTTCAAAAAAAAGACACAATAACAGTAAACATCATTCACTAGTGCAAACTAAAAGCTAGTTAGTTACATAATTATTTAATATATACTGGTGCATTAGTATATGTCTAGAGAAGTATGTGTAAAAATGATTAATTTTTTTCTATCAAATTAAATAAGCTCTTGTGATTTGCTTTTCACAAAGTGTGCCGGAGTAGCATTGAATTCTAAAAATAAGCGTTGAAGATACTCAAGTTCATTTGAGTGCATAATGTCAAA